AAATATAAAAGAAATATTTAGGATCTAGGTAAAGGAATTATTGCTCTCTTTGTGATTAGTTTTTAAGATATGATAATTTGGTTTAGGTAAGAAAAGTATTAAAAAATAGTCAACATCTAATTACTTATATTAATATAACTTATATAAGTTTTTTCATTAGTTATATATAATTTTTTTGCACAATTTATATAATATGAAAATAATAGTTGAATTTATTTTATTTATATAAATCAGACATGTCAAATTTAAAATTGTTTTGATATGGGAAACCATTTAAAAAAATAAACTATATTTTTATACCATTTATTTAGGGCTTTTAAAATATATATCTTTCAAAAATAACTAAATTTATATAATTTTCTTAATAAAACTAAATATATCTAATTAATTTAAAGTTTTATATGCATAAATAAGTAATACATGCATAAAATAAGTGATTGTTATAAAAATTAGTTTAAATTATATTAGGGTAAACTAATAAATAACTCATAAAAAAAAAATTTTAACCTTTCCCCTCGTCCCCCCTAACTTCAATTTCTGACTCCGTCCCTGGTTCCAGGTAAAGACTAGAGTGCAATAAACAAATTTAAAATTTAGATTTCAGAGAACTTTTGGTTGAATACTTTTCTAGAAGCCAATTAGGAGAAATGACCCGCCCTTACTGAAAAAAATCCACCCATTCTAATGCGTGCCTATTAATTTTTCTTTATACTCCTATCAACAAAGTTCTTTAGGGAATAGGCATGGTCTTCATCAAATCTTCACGTGAAATTAGACTTAACAAACAGGTCATATTATATGAATTCAAATTAGAATTGTCTTGAGTTTTGAATTAATTGAGTTTGTTTATTTTAAATTTTAGACTAAAGAAAGTAAATTTATGACTCACCTATACAAATCTCCAAAAAATTTATTGAATTAATATTAACTTTAATAATCTAATAAATAATTATTTTATAATATTTAAATTTACTTTATACTTAAAAATTAAAATAAAAATATAATTAATCAAAATTTTGAATTTAAAAAAATTAATTAATTTTAATCGAATTATTTCGAATTGATTTGACATGACCCTAAACTTGATCCAATCCAATCAAATTTAAATAATTTTACTCTAAATCACATTAGATTCTAAATTAATATTTTAGACCCATATTCTTACCCCTAACTGGGCTAGTTTAGATTTTCAAATTGAGCTAATTTTACCGAGCTTACATGAATGGTTTGGCTTTACCAATGATTTGTTGATCCGAGTGAAAAGAGTTCAGTTCTCCTTAAGTAAAATTTTAAGTTCAACTTTTATAAATAGAAAAACAAGCATTGAAAAAATTTTTCTTCATATGAAGTCCGACTCGGTTTGATTTCGGATTATTCACAATCCAGTGTGGTTTCTAAATATCAAGAGTTAGGAAAAAAAAAAAAGAATGGTTTGGCTTTGACAAGATTGCTACCCCAAAAAAAAAAAAAAAAAAAAAAAAAAACAAGGGGTCTTTTAGATTTTTTGATTTTCTCTAACATAGCTTTGAATTTTTCAGTCCTTAAATCTTACACGAAAAAGAAATTACATTCATTATATCATCTCCATTTAGATCATTTAATTAATCAAAGGAAATAATCAACTCCTCCTCCACTCTATTTAAAGAATTAATACATATTTTAGATACGTACATTTCAAAGCCACCTCCCTTTGATCTTGCCTTTTTCATTTTTTTTAGATAAGATTTCCTAATTATTTTATTTTTACTTGGAATGTTTATTGGGGCAAGTCCAACTAGCTGGATAGATTAGAGAACTGCAAAGGAATAATTAGATTCTTCATTTA